CTTTCTTCTTCAAGAGCAAACTGAAAAAGAAAGGTCCACTTTTCGAAGGCGCTCGAGTTATAGGGTGTTTATCATTTGTAGCAAGACTTATTGAACTAACGTGTTTTTCTGACATTATGAACTCAATATACGTAATAACCTCATTCTTGTAGCAGTAATATTATGATAATAAACAAAAAAGAAAGATTACATTTGTGTATTTTATAAATTGTAAATATAAATAACTCTTCACATAAATGAGTATAGACTAATCTTTAAATCAACACTTTGTAACATAAAACACTTTGTTTCGTCAGTAAATAGACGAATAGGTTTTATTTGTTGATAAGCACGAAGCTACACAATGGAATATCAGTGCTTTGATCACTGCCATTATCGAAACCCGATCTTTAGCGTTCTAAGCCCTCAGACTTACAGATGAGCCACCTGAGAGCAAATAAATAGTACAGTAATTAAATCGTTGCAAAAAATTATTTGTGAAGGATAGTTAAAATTCTGTAGGCTAGCGCCCTCTGTTATTTTTTCTTTCCACTCGAAGTACGTAAAAGTGATCCTATCACGTGTGTTCTCAGATTCTGGTGAGGAGTTTATAATTGTTATTAATAGTAAAACTAAGTGTAATGTACAATTAGTTTTTAGCGAAAGTTCACAAACCTACGATTCCTTTTATCGCCAAACACATGTACAGTTTTAGGAAGGATAATGAGTTTCTGTAATATGTGTGTAAAATTTAGGTTACCACTGTTCTGTGTAGCCGCAGGTCAGTCTTCTAGTAGAAGTTAGAACAGTAAAAGTAGAAGTTTTAGTTTAATAAGACCTTCTGCGTAAAACAGAAGGTAAAAAGAGACAGTATTGTATAAACTATAATAATAAGCACAGAGGCATTTAGTTTAGCGTCGCACTGCACAGTTTGGGCTCTACACTCCAGTAGCAAGTCTCTAGCCCAGGTCTCAAAATATTATTTAATCACTAACTTGACTGTGTCAGGACTACTAGCGTAGTAACTAGTAGTAGTATTAGTACTATTACATTAGTAATAGTAAAAATAATATGAACTAAGGTTATTATTCTTTAACTTTTGACAGACTGTAAAATAGCTTTTCACTATTTAATTTTCAGTCTGCACAAGTGGTGTGGATTATTTTCCGTTTTTGTTGTACAGCAAATTTGCATTGTTATTATAAAATACTAAAACTCGAAATGAGTTATTGATTATGATGGGTTGAATGACCATCTGTAACATCACTTATTGTTATTCTTAAGCCACATAACTAAGTCCCTCAGTAAGTCAGCAGTAAGTTTACAGACTTCCAACACTAACATTCGTGGTTCAGTTCACTGGTCTGGACCCAGTGCAGATAATCTATTATATAGCTTTACACTATAAAGACAAGAACACATAATTAAAGCTTACATGACATGTATAATAAAAGGTGAACTGGCCCATCTTTAGTTACCCTGTACCCACAATTTTTTATATATATTTTTTCAATTGAACACCAATATACCCCTTGAAATCTACTTAAAACTAAAAACTGTTGTGAGTTAAGAGTCTTTCCAGAGGTTTTAATGTTATATTAAAAAAGAAATAATTATATATGCTAGACATCTCGCAAAGTATGTCTGTGGCTATTAGAAATGGACTGGAGACAGTATAATCTTTTTTATGGTATATTTTTAAGGAAGCTCAAAGGCTTATTTTGATGTCATTTACTAACAAGTAGTGGGATCCTATTTTGGGAGATAATTTGAAAACAAAAAAATGTAAATTTATCATTTCATGATAGTCACAGTAGTTTTAGCACGTAGTTTTTCTGCTTACCCAATGTAGAGACTTAAACATAACATACAACAAAGGACTATTTGATCTTTCAAAGCATTTCTTGCACCTCCCACCTCCCAAAATATAATAATTGAAACTCGCATTTCATTGCATAAAGATTCATAGATTCCTCTGTTAAACACCTATATGGTGCTGGTTTCCTCTATTGCTGATGGCAACTCATTCAATAAATAAATCATCATATTTTAAAAATAAAACTTTCTTGACTGTAACCGAGCCTGTCTTTTCTAAAAGGTGAACTAATGTCCTCTTAACCTGTTGTCTTTATGATATAGCGCAAAGAAATCAGAGGCCTTTATCTTGATCTTCTAGTAAGTTCCAATAAAATCTCCTTTTACCATTCTTTTCTCAAGAAAAAACAAAATAGATTTTCAAACAGTTCTTCCATTCCAGGAATTGTACTATTAGCCATCCTTTGAAATGTTTCCAGTAAGTTTTATTCTTTCAAATGTACCAGAACTTTACACAATACTTCAAACAAAGTCTAATAGGTGGTTTGTATAAAAAAGATAACTACCTCTTTTTATCTGTAGTTAATATGTCTATAAATATATTTTGAATTATATCAGCTTGTATAAACTACTAGCAACATGATGATTATAATACAGACTCCTTTTCACCAAAGTTAAATAGAAACTAGAATATATGACTTAAGAGGCCTAATGCATTCTTTGATTTGCTGCATTATCTGCTGTGGACTGTTCAAGACTCCTCAGCACAGCTTTAGTCAGCAACCAAAGAAATATGGTTAGGTTTCTCAGAATGGTGATATGTATATAATATTTATGGCATTTTTGAGTCCTATTTTATTCACCATATAGTGGCTGATTTTAATTTAGGTGTGTGAATAATATTATGGCATTATGCCCAACTTGTATTCAGTATTATGCAGTGGATCAATTGTTTAATGGTTATATTAGATTTCTTTTCACCAAAAGTAGAACGGAAAATATAATCTGTGACATAGAGGCCAACTGCATTCTTTGATATACTATACTTTTTGCTGTGAACTGCAGTTTTGTCCATTCAAGGCTCATCAGCACAGCTTGGGTTAGCAAAACAAAGAAATACATTATCTGCCTTGCACAATGATGATAATCTATACTGCTTTTATGATGAAACCTTAGGACTATTTTTAACAAAGGGTTTTAGTAAAATGGACTTTTGAAAATTTGTAGGGAAAAAATTAAGGAATGGTATCATCGATGTTTTCAGCTACTTGTAGGTTTCATATTATGTTGCATATAAGACAGATTTTCATGTACAACAGTTTAACAAGTAACTTAATCCTAAGTTGCTGTATCTGAAGATGTCTATCATATTAAATGAAGGGTAGTTTAAAAAAGTAATTAAAAATAAGCTGAAAATAAGAATATTAGGGTGATACTATAGCGTGCGGTCTACCGAGCATGCGGTATGATCATCACATAAACAAAACATATAAATATGTTGAATAATAGCAGTCTACCTGGGATATTTACACTGCTAAATAATTTATTAATGATATTAATGATGAATAATAGCAGTTTACCTGGGATATTTACACTGCTAAATAATTTATTAATGGTCATTATTATGATAAAAAACAAAATTGTGCTACATAATTATTTTTAATGACATACAATTCGTACCACATCCTTAACAAATGATTTACATTTAAATCCTTTAATGATATACGCTTCGTATATCATTTACAAATGTCACAAATATATCATCTGCATCTTTTCTCAGTACTTTTCAGCAAATGTGATCAAGGTGTGATTGAAACAGCTCACTGCTAACGCCTCTCATTTTCTTTAGAATGAGTATTTTGGCATCCAACCATGATCATTCAATTGTTTGCATGTTTGCTCCTGTCACTGGATCCACATAATTGTGCTACATAAAATAATTATGTAGCACAATTTTGTTTTTTATCATAATAATGATTATTAATAAATAAAGTGTAAATATCCCAGGTAGACTGCTATTATTCAACATCTTTATATGTTTTGTTTATATGATGATCATACCGCACGCTATAGTGTAAAAGGTCAGGTGGGTCTTGGTAGAGTACAGATACTGCGGTAGACCACATGCTATAGAAGCATCAATATTAGTCTCTTGAAAATATCAGAAAATTTCACTAATTGCGTAGCTCTAAAATTTATGTTGGATCTCTTTTATGATATATTTCAATAAATGATTTTTCAAATCTTTTATCAGACCCTCTATAATTTTTTCCAGCTGCAGAAGTAAGATTAACTGACTTATGATTTTCAACACTTGTTACCTTCTTTGAAAGTAGGAATAACTATACCAACTCTCCAATCCTCAGTTGCCTGTCCACTTTCTGTTAAACTATCAAAAACTAGAGAGAGGCTTACATATTACTTTGATTTCCTTTAAAAATCAGAAGATGTAATTCTTCTCTGTACAAATACTTGTTTAGGCCTTTCTTGGAATACTGTACAGTTTTTGTCTCCTTGTCTAAGAAATGTGTATTGTGTGGGTATAGGTTAAGGTCTCTTTTTTTTTTATTCATTGAGAAAAGAATAGTAAGAAGTGATTTTAGTAAAGTTTACAAGGTTAACCAGGGAATCAATAGGATAAAGGTCTCTGATGTCTATATTATATCCTGAAGATAATAGGATGAGGGGATAGAAGTTTAAGATCTTGAAATAAACAGGATAGGATCCTGTTAAGACCATTTTATTTTTTCTAAGAGGACAATTGATTTAAGGAATGAGTTTCCAATAGCAGTTGTGGAGACTGACACTTTACAGGAGTTTAAGAGGGAAATAGAAACATTTCCTGGAAAGTAAAGGGTGGATTTAGATTTTTATTTCACTTTTCCCAAGAGAGATGTGCAAGAATAGCCTTGATGGACCAAATCATTTCTTGTATGTAGGCCATGTTAATTTCTCAACTTTTTACTTACCATTAAACAAATTATGATATACACGATTCCTGTAAATTCTAGTATTTCTCAGATAATGTGGAGAATAAGAAGTGTTGCTAATGTTCTCCTTTGTAAAATACAGAAGAGAACATTAAAAGTTTCAGCCAATCTCATAATCTCTCGAGTCTTTGCAAACATCTTTTAATGACCCAAATTCCATTTTATTTTGCATACCTTTAACATTGCTTTTTAAAATTGTTTTTTTTTTTAATATTATTAGCCAGCTTTTTTCTTGGTAAGTCCTTTTTATTTGTTAAAAAATAAATAAAAATTGACCTGTTACTCCAGAAAACATAAATGTTATTAATTACATGAACATTTTGCCATTACAGCTTCATCAGGGCAAACAAGACACTTGCTAACTGATTTTAGGCTTATACAAAACATTTACAAATAACTTGAGACTGCATTACAAGGCAAACTTCAAGTGAGATTTATATAATCATTATTGTTCAAAAATTATATTGTTGTACATAAAGCCAATGTAAAGGGTGGGACATCAGATTGTGAAAGTACATGCAAACAGACAATATTATACTATTTAAAGCAAGAATAAAATATATTGTTATGCTAATTAAATGTAAAAAGTAATAATTAAAATTTCATTGTGATTTTTTGTGTAACTGTGGCTTATTTTCTGATATTACTAGGGCTTCTTTGTATTTTCTGTCTGAAAACTCTGGCAATGGCTAAGAATGTTTGTTTTGATGAGACAACCTACATCAATTATATCGTGTTTGTGAACAAAATGTTCAGCCACAGCACTGACTTCAGGGCAGGAAATTCATGGTGGCAATAGCTGCCATGTTTTTCAAAATGGCTGTGATGCTCTCAGAGAATCACTAAAATCCATGACCACCCTTCGGTATCCCTTTGGTCATCGTGCTCTCACAATCTAAATTTGTATTGCATACTGTAGTAAAGGGAACCATTGGACATCACAAACACTGGACTTACAACCTACAAAAACTACCTTGTTATGAATAATATATCACATAAAATGCATGTATTGGAGGGAGTGAAGTTTTTCGGTTAGATCAGCAGTAAAAAATTCGTGCAGTTTGTTGAGTGTCATACCATACCACAGGCTCTTAGACAATTCAAATCGGTGCTCAAACAAACCTGCAGAGTATACACAAAGATTAGCAGTGACAGCAATATGTGACGATCAAAGTCAGCATGCACACATTTTGACCAAAGTGAAGTGTATAACTGCAAATACTCCTTGCACTAATTGTGCCGAAAAGGAACAAGTTAAGAGGAAGAATGCAGCAAAACTTTTTTCTGTGGTGGCCAAGTACCAGAAATTGGAAAAAAAATTTTCATCAGTAAATGTGTAGATTATATCCTGATTTTTTAGAAAATGAAGATAAATAGGATATATCAATAATTCAGCTTGGTAAGTTTTATGTGCAAACTCACCTAAGGCTTAGGGCTACTACATTAGCTAGCTATGGTTAACGTTACTGAATTACAAGTAGTGAGTTCCACAGTGCAATGTCTGACGATGCATGATTTATAGGTTATGACCACGTGCTATACTGTAGTGTTGGCCTAAGTTATTGATTATTGGCACTAGCCTATGTTAGTTATTATGCAAAAAAATACTAGTAGTAGCATTGTTTGGAAATAGTGCTGACCTTATGTCATGGCAGTGTGTCTTTCTATTTATCTATCTGTCTGTCAAGATTTTCAATGGGCTGCTTTTTGGAGACCATGTAAGTGATTTTCGTCAATCTTGGTCAAGTAGTCAGACATGTTGGTAGAAATTAAGCCTTTAAACTTCTACTTCCAAGGATTTTATCTGATTGTTCTCAAAGTTAGACAAAGTAATAAATGGATAGGTGCATAAAAGTTGTATACAATTCTTAGGTCAGAGGTCATTTGGGGTCAGAAGGAACAAAAGCTAGAAATCTTATAAAGCACTTGTTCTCTTTTTGTGCAATTCTGATTTTTATCAAAGTTGGACAAATTAATAAGTGGATAGAGATACCTGAAATTTTGTTCATGATTTGTAGTCACCAGAAGACAAATCCTGAAAACCTTTAAAATGCTTCTCCTCCCAGGGATTTTCCTTCTTAAAGTTAGACAAATTAATTAGTGGAGAGAGACCCTTAAAGTTATATACGATTTTCAGGTCAAACGTCATTTGGGGTCAGGAGGGGGCAAACGCTAGAAATCTTGTTAAGGTCACAGGGCATTTTAGATCAGCATGATACCTCTTTTAATCTTAAAGCTAATGTACTGTTAGTCCATAAGTGTCATTGGTTAAAGTTAAAACTTACCTAACTGATAAACGTAATCTGAAAGGACAGACCAGCTTCCCAAGCCTCCAATGAAAAAATTAATGCCGTATTTACTAAACTAATTGGGAAACCCCCAAGGTACAAAAAAATTCACTGGAGGGCACTAAGGCCCCAATACACATTAATGTTAATGAAATATATACTGCCCTTGAAAATGAGAGAAAATCAAAGGCCAAATGGCCTTGCTCTAAATATTTCGTGGCCTGTGACTTTACTGTCTAACATGTGCAGAGCTTGAAGGTGTGCATTAATTCTGTGCCTGATAATTCTGCCTGTTTCACCACTAGATCTACACTGTTTTTATGATTCTCTACAAATAATGTGACTAACTTGACCACTTCATCAACAGGGATGGAAGGGTATGACTCCATCCAGACTGAATAACATACTATCAGGATTGATAACATTACTAATAATATTTAGAAACTTGGGACTTATTAAGTGCTTAGGAATAAAACTAAAACAATTCTGAAGTGGTTTATCTACAAGTCAAGACAGTTTTTCCATTGGTAAGTCATAGGCTGACACAGTGGGTCTTAAAGGGATACCTTATTTGTTGTCCTTGGGAAGACCATAAAATTTAAGTGGTTTGTATTCTTTAAATTAAGATTACTTGTTACACATTTATGAAGTGTTGAATTTTTAGTGAAATCTTAGCATTTTTCTCAGTATTATTAGTAGGGTCACACTGTAGTGTTTTGTTGTTTTCATTATGCATCTAATCATTAATCTTATTAACATATACATCTTTATCCATAACCACAAAATCTATACCTTTATCAGAAACTTTTGTAATTGTGTTATTATTACCTTTTAAATTATTCAAAAGATTTCATTTCTCAGAAATTAAAATTTTCTCTTGGTCTATATCCTATAGCACCTTTTAGTAAGGGGGCTTCTTTATATCTAAGGTTATAACATTTATGCTTAATGTCTTCCTCTACTTTTGGTGGAAATTAACTTGGCTAGTCAAATAGGAATGTTTAAGTACAGGGTGGCCCAAAATCACCTTTCTTTGTTTAAAATTTTATAATTAAATAACTAATGAAATAGAACTTTGCAGTTTTCAGCATCTTGTAGCCTAACTCAAACAGTTTTTATTGACAAATCAGTAGACTTCTATGTGTGAACCATTAATGGCTTTTAGCGTGTCTAACCAATATTCAATTTCAGTCCACATTTGCTGCAACATGCCCATAGTTACAGTGGTGATGGTGTTCCATATCCTGGTCTTTTGCTCTGTGATGGTTTCTATAGGTGTGCAATATATATGATATCTTTAACATACCCCCCAAAGAAAGAAGACTAGTGCAGTGAAGTCTGGCTAATGTGGAGGCCAAGGAATTGGCCCACCCTGACCAATCCGCCCCCTCAAAAATATCTGATCTAGGAAGTATATGACCAGCAAACTCCAATCTTGTGGAGCACTACCCTGTTGAAAGATTATCCATGGTTGCATTTCTTCCAGTTGTGTGATCACAAATTGTTCCAGCATGTCAAGATACACATTCTTGGTATCAATGCTCTTAGCAAAAAGAAAGGACCAACAGTCCTGTTACATAAGAGACAGCACTACACATTCATCTTTGAGCTATCACACAATTTCAATGGTGTCATGGGGCTTTGTAAGCCCCAAGTGTGGACATTATGATGATTAACTTTATTCGAGGTATGAAATGTGACCTCATTGCCGAACAATACATTCATCTATGCAGTCAAGGAGGTTCACTGTAAATGTCTTGTGCTTTGGTCTGTTATCTGGTTGCAGTGCCTGTACCAACTGAAGTTTGTAGGCACGCACAAAATGTGTTGGCTTTTGATCTCACAAATTAGATACACACACACACACGTTCAAACATTCTGTGTACGGGCCTGAGAGCACTGCCTTAATGATTTTATTGACCTATCTACTACTGTAAAGATCCTTTTCTTCAGTCATGCCTTTTGATTGGGTTTCTATTTCTATTAGATATGTGATATAAATTATGATAATTTTCATTCATTACTATGCTCCCACTAACTAACCAATTGGTCCAAGTCACTCTAGCTAAACTGGTACTACACATATAATTAGGCTTGCCACTTGTCCTATGTTTCAGAAAAGTCTTTTCTGTCATGTATTTTTCATCCACTAAACATTCTAATAAGAGATATCTATGTTCTATAGAGATTAACTACAAATCTCTTTTATCTTCCACAATTAATTAAAATTTCATCTAGTATCAACAGATGAATTTGAATAAAACTGCCTGCTACATAACACACTATTATCGAACTGATTCATTATTTTAATTTGATGTTTGGTCCTTGTGATGAGAGAAGTCACCAGAATGCTTGCATCGAGAGATATAGCTCAATGTTATCATCAAACCTTACTGATTTATTAATTATGCCCCTATCATTGTCAGTAATGTAGGTAAGAAAAAGCAAAGAACTAACATCTGAGACACTATTAGTATCAATGGTTCAGTTTGGCTGAACTCTGTTTATAACTTTTAGTTTTCTTTCACTAAACCACCCTTCAGGTCAATTAACTAGTCTTTCCATAACACCACCAGTATGGTACCTTATAAAAAGCTTTTTGAAAAAATTAAGTCACTAAGTTCACACCCTTTCCATCATCCAAGTAATAGTAAGGCAAGATTTCCAATTAGTGAATCCATGCTGGCTGTTTTTTGTAATATCATATTTCACTAAGTCATTTTTGTAAAGTTTTAATCGAGTAACTGTGTGCAATTTTAGTCTTTATTCTGTATGAAAGATATCATGCTGAACCCTATGCAGAGGTGAACTATTAGTCAAATCAAACATAAAAAAACTACACACTGCATCCAGTGTTCACTATGTGAAAGCACACCATTTTTAAATAAAATTGTTTTGTAAGGAAAAACCCTTTTAAATCCAAGTCATCATTTGTTAATCAAAAAAGCAGTTAAAAATTATAAAAGTAACAGTTCTTGATCAGATTATTAAGCTATTTTTATCAGTTACACGCAACTACTGTGCAAATTATAGTTATAATTGTGCATATCACTGACTTGCATAGAGGAACATGCTGTTGAACAAAAGGAAAAAACATTGTTTCAATTCAAAAGATAAAATTTCCTAATTTATTCTTTCAAAAAAGTCCAATATTTATTGTAGGCTAAAGTGAAACTGTTGTATTCATTTTTTACATAACCCTATTTTTAATCAAGTTTTGTGAAAAATTTTTAACAGGTTAGCAAAATGGAGCAGACATCTGGTACCTCACAAGAACCCTTTCAAAAGGTACAGAGACGGAAAAATAGAAAAAGAACACAACAAGAAATGGAAACTGCTATGGAAACTGAAGTTATGAAGAGACCAAGTTTTCCACCAGCAAAAAAAGAAAAACTCTTGGTGGGCAAGCATTAATTTTTTGATTATCAGAATCTTTTAAGTACTTTTTTCACATTAGTTAAGCAAATTTCAAAAACAAATGCTAGTCACTTGTTTCAGTAATTTTGGTAAAATTAACTAGTATTTAAAGTGTTAACACTACATCTAAGGAATTGGAGGCCAGGCTAAGTAACTCCAATTGGATAGGATGAACACTTCTTTATCAATAATTTGAGTGTTGACATACTGTAATAAGATATGTTAAAGGTATGTTGTTTTCATGAGACCAATTGCTAATGATCATAAAATCTCTATTATTGTCTAAAATACATAATTTAGGTGGTAATAAACAAGCACTTAAAATTTTCAGATTTAAAATCTTACCCTTTGTTTCCAAAAATTAACCAGTTAACAGGAAAAGTAGAAATTATTAAGAGATTCAAAGTAAGGCTTACCCGTCCTTTGAAATGTGTCAATAAAAGTGATTTTGGTGTTTTTATAAAATATCTGAAACATTGCGGGTGTTTACAGAAATAGTAAGTTTCTTAACCCTTACCAGATGTGTCACGGGTGAAAGACCATGTCATTGTGTTTGTTGACTTGCATTCAAAATTTTATTGAACTACTGTTTCATGAATTTATGTCAATAAGTTTGGTATTAAACTGTAGATTATACTTAAAATTTTAGTACTATACATTACTCAATTTCTTAATTTAAAAGTAAATTAAAAAAACACAGATAAACATTGATTTTTGTGTGTCATGTGGTACGTTGAATGCAGCACTGGTTCAAATTAGATGCTTGTGAAGTCAAAATACTAAGTCTGTAGTTTCGTACAAATTAGAAACTTAAATTTCCAATATTGACAAGCTAGAATATAAAATAAGAAGGTCTTGTCTTTTCGCTAAGATATTGCTCACATAATAAATCAAACATATTGGCACCCCTCTCACCTCTTTCAATTTTTGGAAATGCTCCCTTATATATATACTTACTTCTATGTATGACATGAATAACAAATTTTAATCCCAGAATGTCCCCCTAGTGGCTTTCTCAACCATTTTAACATGTTTGGATGCCATTTCTTTCTTTCGACCCAGGATTTTAAGGAGGTAGGTTGTGTCTTTAGTCTGCTCAAATTTTAATTTTTTTTTAAACTGAAATACAGCTTAGTTTCTAAGCTTGATAGATTGTATTTGAATTCTATGGTATTGATATAGTAATTTATGATTTTTTGGTTATTCAACTGTATATATATATAAAACCTAACAAATTTTGTTGAATATCCTGCAAAATTTTAAAAGGCTTAGCAACTGAGCACAAAGGTTGTAACTAGAAGAGATATTTGTTTGCTTTACTTTTTTATTTACTGTTCTATGTTTTAAGAACAATAAGTTTAATAACTTATTTCTAAATAGCAATAATCTATGTACATATATAATGTATAATAATTGAAATGTGACTGTATTTTACAAAATACTAGTCCACTAAAACACAGCCAAGACAGGTCAATTTGTAAAGACTGAAGGTCAGTTTTATATAATTGTATACGGTAACATGAATGCACGTGTGCTGCATCATTGTAAGTTCTGTATTGTTAGCCAGGCATGGCTGAAAGGTCAATATAATAAAAATATTAAATATGTATAAATGTATAATATTATGAGATTTAGGCTATTTAGTCT